CGAGGCTAACTGCATGCAGCAAGGCTAGGCTAACTGCATGCAGCGAGGCTAACTGCATGCAGCAAGGCTAGGCTAACTGCATGCAGCGAGGCTAACTGCATGCAGCAAGGCTAGTCTAACTGCATGCAGCGAGGCTAACTACATGCAGCGAGGCTAACTGCATGGAGCGAAGCCAACTGCATGCAGCAAGGCTAGTCTAACTGCATGCAGCGAGGCTAGTCTAACTGCATGCAGCGAGGCTAACTGCATGCAGCAAGGCTAAGGCTTTATCCTGCTTTCCCTGCCTCCTTTTTCAAATGTCAGCATCTGATCCAGCATTGATAAAGACAGCTAGGACTGATTTAAAGCACTTTTTAGAAAAGGCAAAGAAGAATGAAGAATCTGGGATTCACATGGAAAATAATAGAATATAGTCTTTTTCTTGATGTTTGTACATTTGCATTGTTGCTCTCAAATAAACACATAATCAGAAAATTGTTTTTATATACTAATAAAATCTAAAGCTGACTAATAGCTTCTCCATTATTAAACTTTCACTTTTTTAGGGTTGTGAAGCAATATTGGACCATGCAGAGCAGATTTACCTTCACAAATCCTCAGAAAGGCATAACATGGAAAACATGAAATTATGTTTTTGTAAAGTCTTTTTATAATGTTTTTTGTTGTTGGCATTCATATAAATATACTGGTGTGATAACTTATTATACGTTTGATTGGTTTTTGGTTTATGTCTATTTATAGGAAACTCCACCAGCCACTGCTGATATAAATATCTATCTATATAAATACCCATGTAAACACCCTGAGCAATAACCCTGTATGCACCTTTTTCTTCCTTTGACTCATTCTTCTTGTTCTTTAAAGATTTGAGCTGATTTAATGTGTAAATTTATCCTCTATGAGATCAATAAAGTCAATCAATCATTTCAGTGGTTTCTATTCCAGGAGTTGTATAGCAGCCATGTAGTGCCTCAATCTAACCTGCAGGGGGCGCAGGAGTACATGAGCACCAACTTCCACCGAACCGCAGGCAGCGTTATTCCAGTTGCGGAAGACAGAAGAAGAAAAGCTCCGATCCGAGAAATAACTCCTCCGTTTGGGGTAGTGATGGGTTGATGAGGCGTCATGAAACGTTTCGACACATTACCAAACTGTATTGATACTATGTCGATACTGTGTCACTGAATACTGACACCTGCTGGACATTAAAAATCCCTACAGGCAACCTAGTTGACAGAGTTAACTGACACTGATTTGATGACCTATTATATACAATAATATGATGCAATTCATTGT